CTCACTAGGGTGATAATGGAGATGTTGATGTTGTTATGGTGTTGGGTGTGTGGGGGTGGTGCTCAAGCAAAAGGAAAGAGTGCAGAGAGAGAGAGAGCACGGGTAGAAAGAAGAGAGTGATGAAGAAGAGAGAACTGAGACAGAAGAAAGAGAAAGACCGAGGTACATAAATTAGGGGGTGGGCCCCTTGGGCTCACCAATTAACACCCAAAAATAATTTTGAAAGAAAATTATCTAGCCCAAGGTGTAAAATTCACGAAAATACCCCCTTTGTTTTGATAAAATCAGGATGGGTTGTTACAATCTACCCCTGTTAAATAAAATTTTGTCCTGAAATTTAAAATAACTTGCCACACTGACAAACTCAAAAATAGGAAAAGATATATATTTATAAAGAGAAATCAAGTCAAAGTGGTTGCATCAAAGAGAATATGCCACACCGTCGCGAGTAGTTTGCCAAATCCTCTTTCATGCCTCAAAATCCTAGTTTCTTCCCCAATCCGTGTAAAAGTAGAAATCATACTTTATAAAAATATATAGCTGAAAACATATATTGACGTAAGGTCAAAAATAAGTACGCAAAATACGATAATGTCAACATAAATATGTACTAACATATCGGGCTGCACTTAAAATTGAAAACGGAAAAACTTGACCAAAACTTTGCAACTTGAAAATTCGCTAAAACTATAATAAGGTAATTTAAAATTCTTATTCTGAAACCAAAACCGCAAATGAAGGTAGGTCTTGCCCAAACATACGTAACGTCACATACTCCGAGAAAAGGTGTGTCTTTGGGCCCCAACAATAGCGAATATGTAACAACTGTCGTAGACGGATCTTCCTGCCCACTTGCTTAACAAACCCAATGCATAAGTTATCGATACAACAGTGGGCCGCCCGTGATATCGACCACACATTTGTTGTCTAGATAAGCAAACAATAATTTCCAAAGGATGCACAATTTTCCATATCATAATAGTTTTAAACTCCCCTCTTTCTCTTTAATAATATTGTTTCTATAAGTTCTCTAAAAGAGTAACATCAACAAGGTCTTCAAGTTTCACTGATGATAAAGAAATATGCGTAAAACTGTTAAAGTTCTCTCATAAAATATGGGAAGGGAATAGAGAATGAGCATAGATCAGCGTTGTCTTCGTGATTTTTTTTAACTGAATGTTGGAGAAGTTTTAAAGTTATTTAGAGATTTTATGTTTTATCATCTTTTATTAAGACTTTCCTTGTCTTCCAGAAATTAGATGGTTTACTTATTTAATTAGGTATACTTAATTATTGTTCTCTATAAATACCTTCTACGCGAAGAAGAATAAAGTATGAAGAGTTGAATTGAAGTTATAATTATCGAGTTTGTGAGAATTCTGAAATTTTCTGAATGTGGTAGGTTGGCTGGCTAAATCTTTCGATACATACACATGTATATTATTGTTCTGTTTAGTTAGCAAATATGAATTCAAGCAAACAATTACCGAGTGGGCACGTAATGGGAGTATATGGACACTTTGCTGAGGATTCTGTGAGCTGCTTTGAAGATAAGGACAATTTTCATGTTTTTCCTGATGATGACAGCTTAATTACAGTGGATGACTTCTTCAGGCTTACGCTCGAGAACGAAAATAACACAGTGCTTAAAAGGATTGAAGGAAATCCAATCAAAGCTAAGGAGACAGGATCGGGAACCGTTACTTCAGCTATGCTTTTGGAGCTTGGCTTGGTGTTGGTGTCGGATTCAAGGATAACCAGAGAAGACGATAGATGTAATACTCTATCTTTATTTAATTTTTTTTTTAATTTTTTGTTTATTTTTTATTTTTTAACAAACGATATTATCTATACTAAATAGAAGGGGTAAGCTTAACCTCACAATGGGATAATAATAATTTAGTTTAAGTTCGCCTTTAGCGAGAATCAAACTTAAGATCCCTCGTTTACAACTGAAGAGGAATATCATTAGACCGTAGTACTAAGTGGCATCTACTATTTTAAAGTACTCTATTATTCTATTTTATATATTTATTTTTTAGTGTATTTATGTGAACTTTTCAGCCGACCTTACTTAGTGAGACAAGGTTTGATTGTCGTTGTATTTATGTGAACTTTTTGTTTTTTCAGTTGGAGCTGATTAACTTAAACTTCAAACAATTAGAGTGCATCCACCGACTTTTGGCGTATGGTGTGGTGAATATGAAGCAGCGAATCGCTTCTTGCGGGCTTTAAGGCCTAAGGCGAAACTTGGTAAATCAATTGAATTCCTTGTTAAACGTGGAGAGGCGTTTTTACATAAACATGATGATATGGACGCATTTGCGGTTTACGTTTGTTATATGGAGGACCAAGTTCCAGCAGGATATATGTTCTATTACAACCCTCAAGTAGTGACGCATAAACAAATTGTAAAGGAATTGACGATGGCAAATGTCCAATAGACTACATTAAACGCGGTTCTCGAAAGTTGATCTATGGTGGTGCTTTTAATGATGGATCTGGTGGAGAACATGCACATGATGATTTATCTCGCTTATTTAAGGATGCCAAGTAAGAGGAACAAGATGATGCCGAAGACTACAAACTTGTAAAAATTAAAAAAAAAATTGGGCATTGATTTGGGAAAAGCAAGATTTCTCACCCGTTTTGCAATGTTTCGAGCTTCTTTAAAGGATTCTTATTGCGGTGCGCCGTTTAGAGGTAGAAGGGATCCGATAAAATTATATTTTTTTTTCATTGTAGGTGTAACGTATTAGATATTCAAAGATTGTTATTGTTTTTCAGTATGCAGTGTCACTACAGATGGAACTATTGAGCGGGAAGGCCCTTTTGGTTTCATTAGAACATGTCTTGACTTTTTCAACATGTTGAAGGCTCGCGAGAAGACATTGTTTTTGATCTATCACAAAAGACTCGAGGGATCAAATTTTGGGAGATTTGTAGTTGAAAACATTCCGTGAGTTTATATATGACTTTATTTAAGTTATACTTACAAAAGGCTATTATGTATTTATATATTTATTTCATTGAACTTTTATGTGGTTTTAGGATTGGGCATGAAAAGGTGAAGCACAACGGACATCGTGTGGCTTTGTTGCAAGGAGACTTTTGTCTGCATCACTTGACCTTGAAGGAAGCAGAAGATGTCGATACACTTTTTAACTCTGCCAATCTGGTCATTAAACGTCCACACTTTAGAACCAACGAGTTTCATTTGAAAAGTTATACACTTAATATGACATTACTGAAGAGAAACAAGAGAAGGAGAGAGGGAAGTTTTGTGGGATTCGAGTCAGCGAAATTCTCATACCATGGATGTCGCAATGTTCAAAGACTACGAAGTGATTTATATGGGAAGGCCTACGAAAGATTTTTTGAAATCTTTGAAAGAAACGATCACATTTTTTAAAGGGGAGAGTCCTGATGATAATCAAGTTTAATGGTAAAATGAAAGTATAATTCAGTGTTGTAGGTTTCAAGTTTAATAAATAAAAGTAGGATTGTGATTCATGTCCGGTATATATATACTTTGTTGTGCGTGTTTTCTGTGTTTAATTTAGCTTTCCTTTACTTGTTCCGGTCGTGAAATATCATATTTGTGCAGTGCCCATTAATTTCATTTGCTTGTACTGGTGGGGTGTGTTTTTAATTGGCAATTGTAGTGAGTTATTTTGGATGTAACTAATCACCAACCAAACCGACTGTGTTAGTAATCTCACTGGAATTATACGGTTGGTCCTCAACACCAAATACGTAACACATATAATTCAATTTTAAAGCCTCCAAACACCAAACAGCTTGAGGTACCGAGATTCCAACAATAATGTGGGTACCAATCTAGGGCAGCTTGGTGATCATCACTACAAGAAAAATAGCCATATAAAACCATTCTTATTGGTGTCAATTAGAAACCGTAGGCACTGAAGTCGGTGGCAAACATCGATTGCCACCATGCAGCCATCAAACAGGAGTATATGTCCTGTGAAGAAGTCTCTATATATTGTGACAATCACCACCGTTTAGAAGTTGGTGGCACAACGAACGGTTCTCATTTATCGGTGGTGTCAAATAGGCTGCAGCTGTTGAATTGTCGTTTCATTTCAGTGCCCTATATTTATATATATGTTGCTATGGACTCACGTATGTCTTGGAATAATTAAGCAAGATTGTAAGATTATTGAATGCGTGAACATGTAATTCACAATACCAAATTAACCACTAATATGAGGACGCTGTTGCTGCAATGAACTTAAGAGTTCTTCTACTCTCTTCGCTCACTGTATACACACTTTGTACGTTGTTGGGTGTTTTCTGTATTTAATTTGGCTTTCCATTGCTTGTACATGTCTTGGAATATCATGTCTGTGCAGTGCCTATTAATTTGGATCGACTCTTTGCTTTGGTTTGATTTGCGTGTACTGGTGGTGTTTTCTTTGGGGGTGTGCGTGTATTTTTAATCAACAATTGTACATACACCTTGCCCTCAAGAAGGCAAGCTGCTGCATTTCGAGTCGTCGTTGATCTTTTAAGTTTTGTGGATTTTCGGTTAAGTGCTGGTTGTAGGTGTTAATCTGGACGTTCTCTTTCTTTTGTGTCGATTGTTAGTTTTGAGTTCGTGTGTAATGGTTGCTTGGGGCATACGTTAGCCCTGGTGGGGGATACGTAATATCTATGAAACTTCAGCTACTTCCCAGCACTCAATTACCTTTCAGAGTTCAAATTTCATGCAGATGCTGCATTCATGGTCATCTTCGCAAGACACTCTTGAAATTTGTTAGTAAATCTCGTAACAATTCCAAGTTGATTCAAGCTTCACTCGTTCGTTAAATGTTAATTTATCTTTGTTGTTAGCCAAGCCCACACAAATAATGGAGAGTTAGGGCCGCATTAGACTAAAAAGGAAACAAAAAAAAAAAATGGAGATAATCAAATTAAATATGAAGGGTATTATAGTCAAATTCCAGTTTGAAGGTTTAGTATTTAAGTAGGGTTTAGCATACCAGACAATCCAACTAAAACAAAACAAAACAAAAAAGAACTCGTGCAACTGCAATCTCTCTCTGACAAAAACCATGTACCGCCGAACCAAAGCCACATCGAAGGCGAAGGCTAAGTCCAAGTCCCTCGCCGGACAAGGGTCCGGGAAGGGGAAGAACCCAATTCCATCCCAACCGACGAAGCTCCAAGGTGAGATTCGGAGTCCTTTTGGTATGCTTTTCAATTTTCGTTTTTAGGGTTTGTAAGGAGGAAGATTATCTGGAATTTCCACTTTACAGCAGCATAACTGGGCTACATATGTTCGTTGCAATCTGCATATATTTTTAGGGTATAACAGAGCTTGAACTTAATTAGGGTTCTTGATGCCTTGTTCATAAAAATTCAAAATCCCTTCTTATGTTGAAAATATGTGTTTTATATATATATATATATATATATATATATTTTTTTTTTATAAATTAATTCGTTTAATTATTAATAGCTAGATATTCTTTCCCAATCAGTTAAATACTTGATTGATTTACCCGGTTACTGAGTATAATTTTCAACCGAATTTTGTATCTATTCTATTCACAATCAATCAATTATTGCAAGTCGGTTTGATTTGGCCCGGCCGGTTACTTGTGTCGAAAGAAATCTCAACAAAATTTCGTAGTCCTACTCCTAGGGGAGTGTTAATTTCCAGTACCTATTTATTTTATACATATTTAGTTGTCCTAACAAATTAACCCAGAGTAGTAGCATGTAATTGAGCATTAAGCAGTAGTCGTCAGTATTTCTAATGATTGAATGAGATCGAGAATACAAAGGAATTAAGGGCCCGAGTCCAGAGGGCCTACTCAGCTTATCTATGTTATTAATATCTGTACATTTTCCCAAACACACAGAGAAGAAGAAAGAAAAAAAGGCGGCTGTTAAAGACTCTCCGAAGACTCACCTCAAGAATGTAAAGGCTGTTGCATACTCTCTGGCTCAAATCCAACTAGAGGAGAAGAGTACTAGCCCAGCTTTTTTCAAGGAGGACAAAATTCCGAAATGCATAGTCGAACCACGCATAGTTTCTGAATTGCCGTCTAGTTGTCCAATTTGCACGAAGTTGGGCCACGCTCCTGAACAATGTCCATGGAGGAGACGTCTCCCCTTCGGCATAACTCAAGTTGGCAAGGGCTATGAAATATACGGCCGGCGTGTCAATATCCTTTGGTGTTCCTTTTGTGATGAGATTGGTCATCACAGGATCTCAGAATGCCCGGAGTGGAACAAAAACAAGGAGGAAACCGATTCATGGGAAGAGTTCTTCTTCCCTGAAGATAAGAACAGTTAGGGTCCTCCCAGTCCCACCCTTTTGAGCAATGATATCTCATCCTTCTGATTTCTGAGCAATGATATATCATCTTGGGTGCATACATACCTGCAGCAGCCGTTGAATTGTCATTTGTTTCAGCGCGCTATATTACATGTTCTTGTGGACTCATGTCTGACATGGAATACTTAAGCTAGATAGCTCAATCGTTGCCATTTGTGGCTGGCAGATATACATAGCGATATAGGTTTCTGTGCTTAATCTGGATTTGCATATGTGTTGGTGGTGTTTTTAATTGATAATTGTTGCAAGTGATTCTGAATAAAACTAATCATCAGCGAAAAACGGTGTTTGTGATACCATCGGTCTCTTTATGCTTAGAAAATTGTGACGATAGTACATTCCCGGAGGGATCTTGTCGAGTTGCTGAGCTCTTGGTCTTGCTTCCTTGGCCGTGTGCGGGATCTTGTCGAATTGCTGAGCTCTTAGTCTTGCTTCCTTGGCCATGTGCTTCTCACTGTTTATGTGTTGACCTAGCTTTTCTCAGTTGTTTCACTAATCTGGCGCAGGGTGCAACTACATTCCTCTCTGGGTTCGTTTTCAACCCAAATGTAGGCAGCTCACCAGCACCTACTGTCGATGGGGCTTTCGGCTCGACTCCAGAATTGTTTGCGTTAGGTTTTTCCTGCAAACAGATATATTTATACACAGTATATTGCTGCTGCATAACTCAGCCTACAAATTAATCGGACATCAATGGTATCTGTGCAGGCTCAATCACTCGCTTGACCCTAATATCTCGCACAAGACCACTATAAGGGACTGGTGCAAATGCATAGGGTCCTCCAGGTGAACCCACAAATGAAAAATCAATTTCAAACGATCCACCAGAGCTACAAATATATATATTGATTTATATAATCCACGCTTCTGATCGTAATTACAAAATTTTGTGAATCGACCGAAAATTATTTTGAGGCAAAAATCATTTTGCTTCTCACCATCAAGTTGGAATAAAAATCTATTAAAACCGTTTACGTAGCATAAATACAACTTGGTTTTTGTGAAATACCTTGGGTAACGAGACATACTTTATATTTTGCAATCTCATCTTTTTTACTGTTGTTTTTATGCCGAGTAATGTTGGGAGACTAAATTTAAAAACTAAATGATATGTTATCAATAGGACTAAGCACGTTTATCAACGTTTAAATAATAAGTCAATCATCAACTTCTATATCCTTTAATTTCTAAAACTTTCCCCACAAATTTAGTCTCTATAATATTACTCTTTTGTGCCACATGGCCCAAAGAAAAATTCTTAGATTGTAACAACCTGTCCTGGAATTTACGTAAGAAAATGAGTGTTTTTGTATTTTCACTAAGTTTGGGGGATACTTTCCATTTTAAAATTGTTTTTGAGCCTTAATTGGTGAGCCCAAGGGGCCCACCCCCTGTTTTGTTCCCTGGTTCCTTTCCCTTTCCCTTTTTTTTTATTTCTTCTTACTCTCTCCTTCACCCATTCTCTTCGACCTCTCTCCCTCCCTCCGAGCATAACATACCCACACACAAACACACACACACCCATGCCCACACCTATAGCTCTTTTCTAACCTCGTGGTTGCGTTTTGGACGTCAAACCATGAAGAAACCACCTCGGAGACATTTCCCAGTTTTTCGGCGAGCACCGCCCCTTTCGAGGCAATTTCTGGCCAAACCACGGTGGGTTGGCCGGCGTGCAAGGTATCAATCTTTTCATCTCACTGAGTACTACAACTTTCCTTTTTATTTCACCCAATTTCATTGAGTATTGAAGAAGTTATGCTCATTTGAATCTTACCCAGTTTCCGGCAGACACCCGTGGCTTCCAGGCTGTTTTACGGCCAACTTCGGCCACGATGACGGGAACCAAGGGTATATTTCGATTCCTTACCTTCGGGGCTTCAATTTGGTATATTGAATGACATGTTTTGGTTGAGTTTTGAGCTCCAACGGAGCTTGGGAATTCTCCGGCCTAAATCCGGCCTTCTCCTTCTTGGAATCCGGCAAACACCCAAGGCCTTTGGGCCTTTCCTGCCAAGCCCAAAACCTGGGCAGCCCAACCCAACACCCTTTGTAAATGGGCCTTTGGGCCGTGTAACTTCTAACCCAAACCCAACCCACCTAAAAGCTAAACCCATTTACCCTAACCCAAACCCTTTAGGCCCAAACCCGGATCCAATACCCAAACCCTAAAACCGGGTTGACCCACGATCCGTTGACCTTGACCCGTTGACCGTTTACCGAGTCAACGGTCAACGTTGACTTTGACCTCGGGGTTGACTTTTTGGGTTTTCGTACGGGACCCCTCCTAGGCTAATTTCGACGTCCTGAACCCATTTCCGATGTCCGTTTTCTCAAATTCAGTCATTTGAGTAGAGTTTGACTAAATGTACCATTTATGTGCTTAGGGGCGATTATCTGTGGCGTTTCATTTTTTGCTAGATGGCGTGGCTTTTCGACGGCGAAGTATTGTGAGTGAACCCCTTCTAAAAATGCATGTTTTGATAGTATAAATGCATACATGAAAAGCATGATTTGATGATTATGTTTTATGAAACGTTTTACGAGATAACATGCTTACTGAGGCTAGTTTGAATTACTACTATTTTTCCTATAACCCATGTTCTTATAGAATATCTGATGGATGACGATATGATATTTAGAACATGTTTAGAACACCTCTTTATAGTATAGATGATGGATGACTTTATACTATGAAGTTGATTTTCAATATATGTATGTTCACTGGTTTTGTACTTACCTAGTGGTCCTTTCCGTTACGGGACGTAGGGATATATCCGGTCCGTCCCGGGCGACGGTTTGGTGTTGGCATAGGGCCTGGAGTGTGTTTTTCTCTGACTATCTGCTCAGAGATGGGGAGCCGGCATGGGGCCTGAAGTGTATTTTCCTCTGACTATGTGCTCAGAGACGGGAAGCCGGCATGGGGCCTAGAGAGTTGTATCGGACATTCACTAGTGTTTATTATATTTACATGTTATGATTTGAGATATTGCACGACATACTAGGTTTCGGAAAACCTATGTTTATCATTATATTTGTGTTTTCATAAAACCTGGGGGTTAGTACGTTGATAACTGTTTTATTATATATATACATATCAACTTGGTCCACTCATGTTTGTTTTGCGCCCCCTTCAGGACTTAGAATCGAGGCATACAATCCTGACGTCCAGACACTTCCGCATCGGCATCTTCGAGTCCTCTTGGTGTAGGACCCACTCCTTGGTTTCATTCAATTTTATATTATTTTTCTTTTAATGTTCTAGATTAGTGGTGTGCTCTGAACACGGTCCTTATTTGCATATTCATTATTCTTTTATATTTATAAACCTTATTTACCCTTTGTTTTCAGCATTTGCACTCAATAAATGGCTTTCATCACCCTGGGGTGTCGGCTAGCACGTGGCTATCCTGGTATTCGGGGAATATCGGGATTGGGGCGTGTCATAGATTCTTAATTTTCTTATTTTGAGAATATTTTGAATTCAGAACACTGACTATTATTAATTTTTCAGTCAATTGTACTTATTAGGCACACATCTAAGCAACAATGGATCTTAGTAGTGGCAGATTCAGGTTTTGAATTTAAAGAATCTCAGCGTTAAATGTCTAATTTTCAATAGAAAGAGAGCATGAAGTGTGCAAAACAATTTTAATTTCTTTATGAGGCATTTTATCAAACACTTGATGCGTTTGTTGTCGTTAACCAAATCATGTTATACATATGTCGAAACAATCTAATAAGTGCTATTGAAAATCTGTTAAGTGTTCTCAACATGACTTGATGAGCGAATAAAAACAACAGACATTACATCGAATACTTAGAGACAAAAAATAACGCATACCAAACAAACATCAGAAGGCCGCTCTTAATTTTATGTCTGTCCAGCGTGTCCCCACAGCGTATAAAAAGCCTTCACTCCAAAGCAAAGCGGCGGCGGCGGCAGCAGCAGAGACTCCCTCCCCACAAAACCTTAAGAAAAAAAACCCTCGCACTACAACAAAAAGCAACGCCTCCATTTCCCCCTCCCTGGAAACTTGCCCCACCCGAAACGGCGTCGCACGAACGATACCAGAAACCCTAGATATACAGACAGAGCGAGAGAGAGACTAGAGCAGACGACATGTCGCAGTCACTGGAGCTCTTGCTGATACAATTCCTGATGCCGGACAACGACGCCCGGCGGCAGGCGGAGGACCAGATAAAGCGCTTGGCCAAGGACCCTCAGGTGGTTCCCGCGCTCGTACAGCACCTCCGCACCGCCAAGACGCCGAACGTGAGGCAATTGGCGGCCGTGCTTCTGAGGAAGAAGATCACCGGACACTGGGCCAAGCTCTCACTTCAAATTAAACACCTCGTTAGGCAGTCTCTCATTGAGAGCATCACAATGGAGCACAGGTCTGAATTTATCTCGATTGGATTGTTTTTTATTTTGGGTGATGTTTAATTGCTTGAGCTCCTGTGTGATTTATTTGCTTTGTATTTGAATTGGTTTGCTTATTGATTTCATGGTGTTTGTGCAGTCCACCGGTGAGGCGAGCCAGTGCCAATGTGGTTAGTGTCGTTGCCAAATATGCAGTCCCGGCTGGAGAATGGCCGGATTTGTTGCCCTTTCTGTTTCAATGTAGTCAGAGTGCGCAGGAAGAACATAGAGAGGTAATTTCCGTTGTGTTCTGAAAGAAGCCCTTTTATTTTTCCTTGTTGCGCTCGCTTTATCGTTCCCCATGTTAACTACATTGCCCTCTATGTAATTTTAATCCTGAAAGTTCGTGAATACTTGTGACATTACTCACAAGAGGAGGTGTAATGTTTGTTAAGCCAAAACCTTTGGTGCATTATTTGCAAAATTGAATACTTGTGACTTTATGGGGTTGGGTTTTTTTTTGGCTGTGTTATGGGTAATATGGACGGAAAGAAGTAGCAGAGAGGAGTTATGGGAGAAAATTTGTTTATTGTCTTCGGGATTTTAAAGAAGTTATTTTTTTCTTTTTCCAATTTATGGCACGGAATGTTGGGCGGTCAAGCATCAACATGGGCAAAAAATGAGTGTAACGGATTTGAGAATGCTTCGGGGATGTGTGGACACACGGTAAAGGACAAGATTAAGAACGAGGATATCCGAGGTAAAGTAGGACTTGATATAATTGAAGATGAGATGAGAGAAAATCGGTTAAGGTGAGTTGGACATGTGAACCGAAGGCCTACAAATGCTCCGGTTAGAAGATGCGATTATGAGACAGAGGCTCAGCTGTTGAGGAAAAAAGGGGTAGAGGAAGACTTAGGAAGACTTAGAAAGAGACTCTAAGAAAAGATATGGAGTACTTGGAGCTAATGGAAGACTTGGCGCAAAACCGAGCGCAGTGATGTTCTAGGATCATACAGTCGACCCCACTTAGTGGGATAAGGCTTTGTGGAGTTTTTGTAGCTGCTTTTTAGGGGGATTTTTTGTTTTTACTTTGTGAACATCTTGTCCACTTTTGTAATTTCATCATCATTTGCAATGAAATTTCATTTCTTTCTCAAAAGTAAAAAAATAAAAAGTGGCAAAAGGATTTTCTAGGAAAAGTTCTTGAAGCATGTTCAACCAAACTCTTTTGTGGGCGAAACTGTGTTCTACAAAATATTGTTTACCGGAGACACAAAATTTTTTGGAATTGGGCATTCCACATCACACTCTTGTTCATGTTGTTATGTAGTTCATATTCAATATACTGATTTATATGGTTGGTTTTGCTTTGTTGGAATAAGGTGGCATTGATCCTGTTCAGCTCTTTGACTGAAACAATAGGGAATACGTTTCAGCCACATTTTGCAGATTTGCAAGCTCTTCTTCTGAAATGCCTCCAGGATGAGACAAGCAACCGCGTCAGAGTTGCTGCGCTCAAGTAATGCTTAGTATTTATCCATTCATAGTTTTGATATTTTATGCTTCTTTTGCTAACAAGTGATTAGCTTGTATTTTCTTAATTGAATCTTTTAATTATTATGCCAGGGCCGTAGGGTCTTTTCTGGAATTCACTCATGATGGGGTTGAAGTGGTGAGTTTGTATTTATATCATAAATAAAAGTAAAGTATCATAAATAAATTCTTTTATTAGCAATACGTTCTTCAGTATTGATTATCTGTTTCTGTTTTATCCTTAATACCTGGGTAAGTTGGATAACCTAAAATGATGTTGAAGATGTAAATTTCCCGTAAATTACTATGTGTTTACTATTCAGAATGATAGCACAATGCATTCTATTTGAAGAATGAAAGAAAAAGAAATCCAAGCACAAAGACCACTCAACAGATAAGCCTTTTGAAATATAAAGTAAAGCAATTATTGTATTATTTATAAGGTTCCATCACCATAACAACAAGAGTTTCTATTTCTTGGTTGAGAAAAATAAACAAATAAATTCAGTCTTCTCTTGGTATGATGGAACATGCTCTTGATTGGTTTTGGTGAGAAAAATTTTGGTTTAGCGCATATATTCATTTCTCTTACATTACACACTACTGTTATGTATTGGACAGACACATCAGACCTATGGTTATTTTTTCTTTGGCGTATTTTGTTTTTCCTAGTGGATAGGATCATATATATTCATTGGCTGTTACATCTTTAAACATACCTAATGCTTCAATTTCATGGGATCCGATCATGGCTTGCTATGTGCTCTATGGTCGATGAAAAATAGCATTTCAGAATAAAATTTTCACAAGAGAAAATTACTCTCTCATCAAAACCACAGGTGATAGTCAATTGTAAATTGGAAAAATTTGAACACCAAGCAGTGACCACGCTAATCAAAGTTCTGAAATATACCAACATAAGATCCCAAGTCTAATTGACCGAACATGACAATCTTATTCCTTTGGCATTTTATTCCAAGTAATCTGATGTCAAGCATGCGAAGCAGGCATTTTGTTTTTAGCGTTATTTTGCATTTCTCCCAAATTTCTTACGTTGTAACTAATTAGTTTATTTTTGTTGGCATTTATCTTATTCATACCAATCCAGGTGAAGTTTCGGGAATTCATACCTAGCATCTTAAATGTATCAAGACAATGCCTTGCAGCTGGCGAGGAGGATGTTGCTATTATTGCTTTTGAAATTTTTGATGAGTTGATTGAATCTCCTGCACCTCTTCTTGGTGAATCTGTTAAATCCATTGTGCAATTCTCTCTTGAAGTTTGTTCAACTCAAAGTTTAGAATCTAATACACGTCATCAGGTTAGTATAAAGGGTCAAACGTTTCCTCGCCTTTTCTCTATGAGCTCCCAGTCTTTGGTTGGGCTGATAAGTTTGGGACTGGACCTAACAGTTCTTGTTTGAGACCCAATTTTTTTGCCACTTTCCTTTATATTTTGGCCTTCAAGATATGAAAAAGAAATACTGAGACAACTGAAAACCATAGTAGCTCCCACCTGCTTACTATTTCTCTTTCTCTCTCTTTCCCCTCTCTTTGCAAACCGCACAACTCTGCCCATCACATATGATGCTAACTAGCTCTTGCAGATCCGGTTTACTGGATTTTGTGCTCTCACTGTTGCTTGGGGTGCTTAGTCCCGTCAGCTCGATCAGTTGTATGTGGGGATCTGTAGCGTTGTATTGTGATTTTGGGTTGTTGCAGCCTAGGGTTTTGACCCGCGATCTGGGGGCCGGACTGATCGGATTTGATAGTTGCATACAGAGAGGGTAGGAGAGAAGAGGGAAAAGAAGAGAGAGAGAAGGGGGGGGGGCAATTTTCCGGCAGCACAGCCATTACAGACACAGACGGAAGGTGTAGCTGCTGTGGCTTTTGTGCTTCTCAGTTTTTCTTTTTTAAATTTTAAACGAGTGAAAAATGGAAAGGTGAAGTGGCAAAAAAAAAAAAAAAAAAAAAAAAAAAAAAAAAACAAAGTTGAGTCCATCGGTAAACTGTTGGGTCCCAATAAGCTTGCCTGTAAGTTTAACTTATCTGCTTTGTAATAAACAAAGGCTCTGTCTGTGAAATACTCATATTTGTTTTTGTTGTTGATTCTCAGGCAATTCAGATAGTTTCATGGCTAGCAAAGTATAAATCCAATTCCCTCAAAAAGCATAAGCTGGTCATCCCTATTCTGCAAGTTATTTGCCCATTGCTTGCAGAATCAAATGATGAAGATAAGGATGATGATCTTGCTCCAGATCGAGCTGCTGCAGAAGTTATTGATACTATGGCTTTGAACATACCAAAGCATGTTTTCCACCCTGTCTTTGAATTTTCTTCTTTAAGCAGTCAAAACGCAAATCCAAAATATCGGGAAGCATCTGTTACCGCTTTAGGTGTCATTTCAGAAGGTTGTTTGGAGATGATAAAAGATAAGTTGGATCCAGTTCTTCATATTGTCTTAGGCGCTCTGAGAGATCCTGAAGAAATGGTTAGGGGGGCTGCATCATTTGCATTGGGTCAGTTTGCAGAGCATTTGCAGCCGGAAATTGTTTCCCACTATCAAAGTGTACTTCCCTGCATTTTGAATGCCCTTGAGGATACATCTGATGAAGTGAAGGTATGTTTGGTAGAAGGAAATTAGAAGATTGGTATAGTTTATTCATATGTATTTGATATGACTAAAACAATCTATATGTGCAGGAGAAGTCATATTATGCTTTGGCAGCATTTTGTGACAACATGGGTGAGGAAATTCTTCCATTCCTTGATCCATTGATGGGAAAACTACTGGGGGCCCTCCATAATAGCCCTCGTAATTTGCAGGAGACATGCATGGTATGGTGGTCTTCTTTGACCTAAATACTTAAAAGTAAATTATTATATATATATATATATATATATATATATTCAGTGAATGGTTCGGTTTTAAATTGATTGATTTGCATCATATTGCAGTCTGCGATTGGTTCGGTTGCATCTGCGGCAGAACAGGCATTTGTTCCGTATGCTGAAAGGGTTTTGGAGTTGATGAAAAGTTTCTTGGTGCTTAGTAATGATGAGGATCTTTGTTCACGAGCAAGAGCTACTGAATTAGTTGGAATTGTTGCAATGTGTGTGGGGAGAACTAGGATGGAACCAATTTTACCCCCTTATATAGAAGCTGCAATTTCTGTAATTACATTTCCTCTTTCCTTTGATCATTTTGTCTCAATGATGTTAATTAACATGTCTAGTGTTATCACAGGGTTTTGGATTGGATTTCAGTGAACTTCGGGAGTATATTCATGGATTCTTCAGCAATGTGGCAGAAATTTTGGATGACGGCGTTATACAGGTATGGAAGGCTTGAGTTGGGTTATGCTTAATGCAATTGTTCACTTGATGCCCCTTTTTCATGAGTTTTCCCCCCTCTTTTGAAAACAGTATCTTCCTCATGTCGTACCCCTGGCTTTTTCTTCCTGCAATCTTGATGATGGAGCTGCAGTGGACATCGATGAGTCTGATGATGAAAATATTAATGGATTTGGTGGAGTTTCATCTGATGATGAAGCTCATGATGAGCCAAGAGTACGAAATATCAGTGTAAGAACAGGAGTTTTAGATGAAAAGGCAGCTGCAACTCAAGCTCTTGGCTTATTTGCACTACATACGAAGGCCTCATATGCACCGTATCCAACATCTAATTTTATTTGATTTTTAGGTTATATTCTAAGTTTATGGATATACAATGTTAATCAGTAAGATATTGTTTTGGGATCTTTGACTTCTTTTAAGCTATTTGGAGGAATCATTTAAGATCCTAGTACGACACTCAGGGTATTTCCATGAAGATGTTCGGCTTCAGGCAATCATTTCTCTGAAACGTGAGTTCAAACTTATTGTCTGTATCTGCATGCTGTCTGTCAAAGTATACTTATTTTGAATTATGTTGGAAATGTGGATGAGTTGGTGCTACAGGGATAATTTTTATTGAGTATTGTCTTGCTTTTCTGTAGATTTTATGATATTTAATATCACTTGTCCATTAACAACTTATGTTTGGTTGATTTCAAATACAGATATTTTAACAGCAGCACAGGCAGTTTACCAGAATCATAATGTTAGTGGCTGTCATATCTCTCTCTCTCTCTCTCTCTCCACATGCAAGTGTGCAGTGCATGTCATGATCACTGTTATTTGGTTTTGCAAACTTGTTTGTCGCCTACTCATCTGTGTACTCTAATGTGCTTCTTGGAGCCTCCTCTTTGGTGCCACTTTGTTTATAGTTGAGATTATATTTGGAGTTAGTAGGTATCAAAATATGGTATTAAGTTTACTAGTGTTCTTGTTTTGCAGGAAGGACAAGCAAGGGCTAAGGAAATTCTGGGTAAGATAATGACGTGAAAAACGGAAGATATATGTACCTGTCCGCATCCTGGTTTTCTGTTAACATTAAAATCAAACTCTTCACTGCAGATACTGTGATGAACACTTATATCAAGACTATGACTGAAGATGATGACAAGGAAGTTGTTGCTCAAGCTTGTATGAGCCTTGCTGATATCATCAAAGATTATGGATATATGGCTGTTGAGCCTTGTGAGTATAATTTATAGTTGGGTGTTGTCCTCTTTGTTGAAGCAATTTCTAAAGGCTGATAAAATGCTGTCATCTGATATCAGATGTACCACGGGTTGTTGATGCTACTTTGGTACTGCTTCGGGAGGAATCAGCTTGTCAGCAGACAGAATGTGATGATGAAATTGATGATGATGATGTTGTACATGATGAAGAACTTATGGATGCAGTTTCTGACCTTCTTCCTGCTTTTGCGAAGTCAATGGGTCCTCATTTTGCACCTATTTTTGCTACGCTATTTGAACCTTTAATGAAATTTGCGGTGGGTTGCAAAAACATTATATCAAATTTAGTTGCAATACCTTGCTAGCGATTTCCTACAGTAGGTATTTTGCTAATTTAACTATTGTTGTATTTAGAGAGCTTCGCGGCCACTGCAAGATCGGACAATGGTTGTTGCCTGCCTTGCTGAAGTTGCTCAAGACATGGGTGCTCCAATTGCTGGATATGTCGACGTAATTTTATCAAATTTTTTATACATTATTATAAATTAAGGATGTACATTAAGTTCAAGAATACATTAAGCTAGTTGCTAAAATTTGTGTCTGATTTCAGAGGGTGATGCCCTTGGTAATCAAAGAACTAGTATCATCAGACGCAACCAATAGAAGGAATGCTGCATTTTGTGTTGGAGAGCTGTGCAAAAATGGGGGTGAGGGGACGTTGAAGTATCCTTTTTTTATGTTAAGACTTTTTATTGTCTTTTCCTTGTTCCTGATTTTTTTCTTTGGAATTTTCGTGATCCTCTGATTCGTGTTCTGAGTTCAGGTATTACAGGATTTGTGATGAATCATCTTTATAATTATGTTGTTTATAGAAGTTAGTTTGGCATAGAAACCTAGAATGTGCCTTCCACTAGCATGTTCTTTAATCAATTCCCAGATACTATGGTGATATATTGCGTGGACTTTACCCACTATTTGGGGAATCTGAGCCAGATGATGCTGTCAGGGATAACGCAGCTGGTGCAGTGGCAAGAATGATAATGGTGCACCCTGAATCTATCCCATTGAATCAGGTAAGTATCCTGATGACATTTTCTGGCTTAGTATTATCATTTTTCCATCATTTGGGTTTCGTTTTGGTGAGCTTAAGTATATATCTCCTTGTTAAATTTGCAGGTACTTCCTGTTTTCTTGAAGGTTCTTCCACTAAAAGAAGATCGTGAAGAGTCAATGACGGTGTATAGTTGCGTCTCTACTCTTGTTTTATCATCTAATGCCCAGGTTAGTTCACAGCTCCATGATTTCAGTCTGAAACTTGAGAATAGATTAAAATGATAAGATATATATCATTTATAAACACTCACACACACACACACACATTTATAATATGTGTACGTATATCATACAAACTATGTGGGATCCCTCTATGGAAGCTCCCTGTGTATCGGGTAATCCTAGAAGGTGAACTTACTTGGTCTTTTTTGTTTTTCTTGTTTTCTTATCCTTTTTCTTTATGGAGTTGACCATAAGTTTTCTTACCCACCCATTCTTTTTTCCAAGCAGATCCTTTCTCTAGTCCCAGATTTGGTTAATGTATTTGCTCAAGTTGTGGCATCACCAGTTGAAACTCCTGAAGTAAAAGCACAAATCGGAAGAGCTTTTGCTCACCTGATTTCACTCTACGGCCAACAGATGCAGCCCCTTTTGGGTAACCTCTCCCCTGCTTATGCAAATGCCCTAGCCGCATTTGTCCCGAAAAGCTGATTCGTGGTGAGCCAGTGACTTGCCTTCTCGTTGCATTTGCTCCAGGAAGCTGTTCGATTGAGCCTGTGGATTGTGATTCTTCACCAATAGTTTCTACCCGCCTTTTTTGCTGAGATTCTTTTCCAATTCAAAGACCGTGGTGTGTTGTTCCCATGTTTTATAGATGGGTTGGCTTCAGTCTTGGAGGAGGACATCGTTCTATAAGGTAATGCCTGCGACCTAGGGTGAGAAAAGTAGCAAATGCCCTAAGAGGCTTTGAAGCCTAATTTGCAAATTGCGTTAACCTTCTATACGTGTTTTTGTTCATTCTTACAGGTGATCCTCCTCCTATTACCACCTCCATTTTTCAAGGCTGGTGATACTGCTTTTTCTTCTTCTTCCTTATTTTCATGTGGTATCTTTTTCCCCCTGAATCTTCTTTACATTCTCCGGTCTGCTTTGAGCGTTCGTGTGCTTTCTTTGATACTTTTATGTGCGTGATTTGATTATTTGTTTGAGTATCATGGTTGTCCGCTGTCTGGTTTCCATAGGTTCGAAAATTTCGCCTTTCCGCTCACAGAATTAGTGAAGATGATGCATACCCATAGTATATCGTCATGTGTAACGCAGCGTTGTCCTTAAGTTATTGCTTGCAGAATCAAATTGCCAACGGTAAAATTGGCGCTTTCGATTTTCGGCAGTCATAGTAACGAGGTTACTTTTATGTTATTTAAGAAATGTGTTTTGATATGTACTAATTTTCAGTTGGGACTTCAGTATGGTTAATTTATGTTTTTCCATGGTGGGTAACTAGAGTCGATAGGAGCGACAACTAACCCATGTTTACCGAATCCGAAGGGGGGGTAATTTTTGCACGTCCCTCTAAATTTTAGCTCCCGGTTCTCCTATTTGTTCAATCCAATGGTTAGAAACAAACAAAGGATGTGCGGGAGGTGAAAATGGCGCGCAAAATCACTTTCCATACTAAATCGTTGTTATGTTGTGTAGACAGTTTGAGATAGAGGGATTGTGAGCACCATCTCCTTTGAAACAACAGGCTTATGGATTGATTCCATTTGGAAACAACACAGCACAGCGTAGCAAGAATCATGCATACCAAAGTATAATTATTTGATACGAACACAACCTCAGTTCAACTCCGATAAACTTCGTATGGAAGTATTTACAGAGAACAAGATACACGTTTTATTGTATAAGCAAAGGCTAAACCCACAAGAACAAGTGAACCTAAGTACGTGAAACTTTACGTTATTATTTTCCAACACCTCCTTTTAAACTCATGCTTGTGGCGTTATGCTTCCCACAATAGTCCTTGACCGAAAAATCAAATCCCACGGTGGACATATTTTCATAATAATATTGTAAATATTCCACTAGGTCTATTGCCTTATACTGCATGGGGTGGTCCTCGTCCGTAAGCTCATTTGGTACATATATCACTCCTTTGTTCCAAAAGAATTGTCCGAACGAGTATCTGACCTTATTTTCCTTCAAAACGACTTTGTGCTTGCAAGATTTTATTCTGTCGTTACTCCAAACCTAGGCCAAATAAAACACGCATGCAAACAACATCAATAAAATATAGTTATCAAAAGTTTAAGTTAGGTTGTTAAACACACTTCATCTGTTCCTTTGTTCTTGAAACTTACATTGCCTTACACTACAAGAAAAAAACATGTCAAAGGAAATGAATTTTTTTTTTCGACACACATAATGCTTTCAAAAATAGTCCCAATGGCCGCTTGATTTGTACTTTATTTGGTAGGAAGGCTCGGCTCCGATCGTCTTAACGATAAATGATATTGTCGTTGGAAATAGAATGGTTATTTTTGAGGGTATATATATTCATGTTGTTGGAATTTGGTTGACTATTTTTTATGAGAAGTATGTCCTCCCGATAATGCCTTCATATTTTTTAAGGATTCGTTAGGAATTGGTCTTTATAGTGTCTTTTTAATTCTTTTTATTAATTTAGTCAATTTGTGCACTTATGATTATTTTTCATAAATAAACTTTTCGGAGAATTTTTTATAGTCAAATGGAAGGAAGCTAAGAGGATTAAGATAGTTGTGTTCAACTTTCACCTTTTTTTTTATAAAGTTAAACGTTTCAGTTCTGCGAATCAATCCCGTAAAAGTTACATTCTCGTTAATATTGTGCAACTATGGGAGAATGAAGATTTGAAGGCTTTTCCAATTTTTTCAAGTGTCGTGCCTTATATGCCCAGACATAGAGCTATAAGTTTCCTATTTTTCAGAATTCTACATAACTGAAGGTGGAACGACCCCAAATCTAGCATGAAAGATGGATGACATGTTCTCCAAGTCAAGAAGAATTCTTTCTTAGTTTGTGTCCAATATCGTTTTGGATTTTGTTTTTCTAGCCGAGTTTTTACCAAACCTTTTAGTGTTTTTTTAGTATAAATATATGTCCTATTATCTCTCTACATGTCACCATACACACAAATTTGTCCAAAAGAGAAAGGAGTGCTTAGGAGCACATCACCGTTGTTATTTCGTGTGCTATTTGTTCTTTTCATGACTTATTGTTATTATTTTGACTACGTGTAACTAAACACCCTTGCTAGGCAATGATGAAACACTAATATGATGATCTAGTTTTCTTATTTTGCCTATCTTACGATTGCATTTTAATATGGGATTCTTAATCACCGTGCTTATTATCTTGACGCTTAGCTACCGTCAAGATTCTTAATTGAGTTACTTGATGTAAATTAGACTAAATACTATAGCTAATTTGAGGCTTGCTTCTTGTGGTTAAGGGTTGTAATTCTTTTAGGGTAAACACCGTATTCTCAGGGTTTGCATGGTTTTCACAAAACGTAATGAGTTTTTGTATGTTCATAATTGTACTAAATGCCATAGACAAATTGCATGTAGAGATTTACGGGTGAGCCTAAATACCATATTAGTAGTTTATGCGTAAGAAAAACTATTCAATAACATCAATTGAATTAATCAACGGATAGGTAATGTAGAAGCTAGGTTGGATTACTAGTGGCAGATTTGATGTCCTAGTGCCTTCATATCTTAATTTTCAAATTTCATCATTGTCTTGGTTTAGTTTATCTTGTTAATTTTAGTTTTAATCAATCCTTAAATTCAATTCGTTTGTATAATTAAGTTTGGTGTAATTATTGGTTTAATTGGTTTTAACGCAATTCCTGCAAAATTGGCCTTGTACTTGCATATGTAAAATCCCACATCGCCCAGGGGAGTGATCCTTATATGTATATTCTCATATCTACCTAGCACGAGGCCTTTTGGGAGCTCGCTGGCTTCATGTTCTATGGGAACTTCAAAGTTAAGTGAGAAGGGGGCGAGAGCATTCCCAGGATGAGTGACCCATCAGGAAATTCTCGTGTGAGTTCCTGGAAACAAAACCGTGAGGGTGTGCTGGGGGCCCAAAGCGAACAATATAGTGCTACGGTGGTGGAGCGGGCCCGAGAAGTGGTCCCTCCCGGGTGGGGATGTGACAATTTGGTATCAGAGCCTAACCTTGGCCGTGGTGTGCTGACGAGGACGTCGGGCCCCTAAGGGGGGTGGATTGTAAGATCCCACATCGCCCATGAGAGTGATCCTTATATGTATATTCTCATATCTACCTAGCACAAGGCCTTTTGGGAGCTCACTGGCTTTGGGTTCCATGGGAACTCCAAAGTTAAGCGAGAAGGGGGCGGGAACATTCCCAAGATGGGTGACCCATCGGGAAGTTCTCGTGTGAGTTTCCAGAAACAAAACCGTGAGGATGTGCTGGGGGCCCAAAGCAGACAATATCGTGCTACGGTGGAGTCGGGCCTAGGAAGTGGTCCCGCCTAGGCCGGGATGTGACAACATATCTATACTACTATTGAGTCGTGTGCTTACGGGTTAAAATTGGTTTAAGTTAATCTATTATTAGGTTAGTTTGAATATACATCAAGGATTAATCACATTTTTAGAGAAGCCACATAACCGCTTATTGTTTTGCTAATTTGGCACATACATTGCTACCTTCCGTCATGTAATAGTTCTAAGGTTATATATAAACTTCTGTTATCCCTCAAATAAAGCTTATTTGATTGACATCTTGTGATGACCATTTCATAACTTTTTTTTAACAATCCTAATAATTTATATTTTAATTCATTATTCATAAATTATCCTTTCCAAAAAAAGTTAAAAAAAAAAAAAAAAGGCAAATCTAAAACAATTAAAAGATCCAATTGTAGTCAAGAAAAAAGACGAATATGGTTCTTCAAAGAAACACTTAAATGACTATCATTTAATCCAACAATCATATAATTTCGGATTTGGGTAATTTTTTAGAAGAATATATTTGAGAGAAGGCCTTAATGATAGATGGTTAAATTGTTGAAACACATTGAGAACTGAGCCGTACAAAAGGGATGCCTGAACGACAACTAAAATCCATGAAACTAAGGCAAGATTAATGAAAGGGTGTTGACGCACCTGAAGTCCATCACCAGCTAGGAATAATAATGATGAAGGCAGAGGATCATAACCAATCCACTCGTTATCCTTTGTGCTTATCTCAACACCATACGATTCTTGATGGAGTACGGTAGTAAAACACTTGTCTGTATGAATGTGTAGAACAGTTTCAGTTTCATCTGTCTTGGGTTCATCATATTTTATAAGTAGGGTAGTGGGCATGGTCGATTGAATGTGATCATCGTGGTATTTCTCTACCTTGTAGTTTTCAAATACCATTTTTGTCACAACTTGATTTAATTCTGTCATCACTTTTGAATACAGATCAGCACTCTCACTGCCCAAGATATAAAGAACAAATTATTATTATTAGGAAGAACAAGTATAACTGTTTAAGGACAGATTCGCATTAGCTTGTTGATAAAGAAATCGAAAGTGTTGATAGAAATCATAAGTGTTGATAACAAAACATATAACAATAAGTATCTAGATGTAGAAAAAACTGCTAAAACTATCGAAATGTGCAGTAATTTATACCGAAACTGGTCATTTCCTTCCGGCCAAAGTTGACATGTGACGTTCTTTATTTTTTCAGTGCTTGAACGAAATGACATGGATTCACGGGTAGGCAGCCTTACGTAACCCTCAACTAGAGGTTTATCCTGAGGAAATTGTGCTTTAATTTCGTCGGGGAAATCAAACAACTCGTTGAATGTCCCAAACATGGTGTCATTAAGCTCCCGTGAAACTTTGTTGGGAAGGACTGCCAGGAAACAGCCAAACTCTTCGAGAGCATTACAAACGTCTCTGCGTACTGAGAGCCAAGAACTTGTCCCTGACTTCCAGCAATCCTCTTGGGAGAAATCTACTACTGGAATTTTGGCCGCTGTTTGGGTCCTGGAAGCCATCTTTTTCTTCTCAGCTAGCTAACTGATAGGTTTTGAGGCTCTACTCTCAATGATATATATATATATATATATATATATATATATATTTATATTGAACTGCAAGCTGTATGCTACTCTCAACCAATCCAAATTATATCTGTACGTAGAGTAAAACATGTATATCTTTTTTCTCTTGTGTTGCACGCCTACTGACATAACCCCTCTATTTCTCTCCAATAATTCATCCAATTCAAAAACCCTCACCAACCCTACTATAAAAAAATGATGAATAGTAGCCACTGTGAAAACATGCAATTTATTATCAGATAACGGTAAGGGTGTTGGTTCATCGATCACCATCATCTGCGTGTTGTTTACTTCAGCACTATACGTACACTGCTTTTAGAGTCCAAAATGGCGTGCGTGGCGGAGCCAATATATGGGAATCTGGGGGGCTTTGAATTTTTATATGAACCCTGTAGTTTTTATAATAGGTAGACCACTCTATTTGGCAGGAGAAGAACGAATCTTGTTCAGCACACCGGGCGAGGATCAAATGATATTTAAAGATTAGAAATATTTTTTCCCATCTGCCTCACCCACCCACCCCCACCCGACACAACACCTCTCCATTTCTCTCCAATAATTCATCCAATTCTGAAACCCTCCTCACCGACCCTTAAACATGCAGTTATCAGACAACGATACGGGTGTTGATCAAAGGGCGTGAGCTTCAAGGCTTTCACCATCATGGCATCATCTGCATGTGTTTGATATATATGGTTGAGCATGCAGGTTTATGTTCGAGTGACAATGGATTATATCCCAACAACATATTGCCACTTCCGGACCAAAATATTGAATCTGTGCCATGTAGATTATTTAGGAAGGTTGAATATTCTTGTGCTTATAGATATGAACTTTGATTTCATCTTCAAAGCTCACACTGCTTTACACACAGACACACACACATTTATAATATATGTGTACGTATATCATACAAACTGTGTGGGATCCCTCTATGGAAGCTCCCTGTGTATCGGGTAATCCTAGAAGGTGAACTTAGGGCTGGTTTGGTATTGCTGTGCTTTGAAAAAAAAAAAAGAGCTGCTTCTGCTGTGCTGTGAGAATAAGCAGCTGTGAAATAAAGCAACAGAGTGTTTGGTAAACTTTTTTGTAAAACAGATGTGAAAAACAGCCGTTTTTTCAAAGCTGGGTTTTGCAGCTTCTTGTGTTTGGCTTTTTTTCATCCAAAACTGTGAAAAAAAAACTGAAGCTGAATGTTTACCAAATATAAAAACAGCTCCCAGCTTTTTTTTATACCAGTTTTTTTCAGAATCACCTCAATATCAAACCAGGCCTTACTTGGTCTTTTCTGTTTTTCTTGTTTTCTTATCCTTTTTCTTTATGGAGGTGACCATAAGTTTTCTTACCGACTCATTCTATTTTCCAAGCAGATCCTTTTGCTAGTCCCAGATTTGGTTAATGTATTTGCTCAAGTTGTGGCATCACCAGTTGAAACTCCTGAAGTAAAAGCACAAATCGGAAGAGCTTTTGCTCACCTGATTTCATTCTATGGCCAACAGATGCAGCCCCTTTTGAGTAACCTCTCCCCTGCTTATGCAAATGCCCTAGCCGCATTTGTCCCGAAAAGCTGATTCAGGATGAGCCTGTGACTTGCCTTCTCGTTGCCTTTGCTCCAGGAAGCTGGTCGATTGAGCCTGTGGATTGTGATTCTCCACCAATAGTTTCTACCCGCCTTTTTTGCTGAGATTCTTTTCCAATTCAAAGACCGCGGTGTGTTGTTCCCATGTTTTATAGATGGGTTGGCTGAAGTCTTGGAGGAAGATATCGTTCTATTCTATAAGGTATGCCTGCGACCTAGGATGAGAAAATTAGCAAATGCCCCAAGAGGCTACGAAGCTTATTTTGCAAATTGCTTTAACCTTGTATACGTGTTTTCTGTTCATTCTTACAGGTGATCCTCCTCCTAGTAGCACCTCCATTTTCAAGGCTGGAGATACTGCTTTTTCTTCTTCTTCCTTATTTTCATGCAGTATCTATTTCTCCCCGAATCCTCTTTCCGTTCTCCGGTTTGCGTGTGCATTCTTTGATACTTCTATACTTTTTTTGTGTATTACGGTTGTCCGCCGTCGGGTTTCCATAGGATTGAAAATTTCGCCTTTCCCCTCACATAATTAGTGAGGATGATGTATTCCCATAACGCACCGTTGTCTATAAGTTATTGCTTGCAGAATCAAATTGCCATCGGTAAAATTGGCTCTTCGGGGTTTCCGGCAGTCATACTAAGACCAACTCTAATCCTTGGAATAAAACTCAAATTTTAGGTTCTAAACCTACCTCAACTTGCTCTAACATATGGGCCAAATATGAGTTTTAAACCAAAACTTATTTTTGGGGGCAAATTTAGTGGGTTGGCCTACCATATACGTGTATATTTTTTTAGTTTTATATTTATAAATTTATTGAATTCAATGGTTAATATCTAATATGATCAAATCTAACGGTAAAGAGAAAGATCTAATAGCTCAAATTTATATCCAATGGCTAAAATAATTAAAAAAATTATTTCATGTGTTTCATACTCTTTCATAGTGTTCTACAAGTTTCATGGTGTCAGTTTAGTGATTTTTCAATATTTATTAGAATCTAAATATTTTTAGGTTAAAATATTCATAAAATTAATTTGGATAGTCTACATATTTTTTATTTTATTTTTAAAGTTATTTTAAAAATCCTAAATTCATTATTTAATGATCTCAGACTAAAATTTTAAATAGAAGGATTGGAGCAGAAAACATATTTCTAGGTTAAAAATTTTAGGGTTTAACCCAATAATCGGAGACGGTCTAACAAGGTCACATTGTGCTATTTAAGAAATGTGTTTTGATATGTACTAATTTTCAGTTAGGACTTGAGTATGGTTAATTTATGTTTTTCCGTGTTTGGTAACTAATTCCAATGTCAAATGAGTCGATAGGAGCAACAACTAAGCCATGTTGACCGAATCCGAAAGGGGAGTAATTTTTGCTGCCCCTCTAAATTTTAGCTCCTGATTCTCCTATTTGTCCAATCCAATGGGTTAGAAACAAATAAAGGATGTGCCGGGGGTGAAAATGGCGTGCAAAAATCATTTCCATACTAATCGTTGTTATGTTGTGTAGACATTTTGAGATAGAGGGAATGTGAGCACCATCTCCTTTGAAACAACAGGCTTTTGTATTGAGTCCTGCATATATACCATAGTATATTACTTAACACGAATACAACCTCAGTTCAATTCCAATAAACTTCATATGGAAGTATTTATAGAGAACATGATACACGTCTTATTGAATAAGCAAAGGTAAACTTACAAGAACAAGTAAACTTCAGTTCAACTTCAATAAACTTCATATGGAAGTATTTGTAGAGAACGCGATACACGTCTTATTGATTAAGCAAAGGCTAAACCCACAAGAACAAGTGAACCTAAATACGAGAAATTTTCCGTTATTATGTTCCAACACTCCCTTTTAAACTCATGCTTGTGGCGTCATGATTTGGTGAGAAGAAACCCTACCTTGTACCTTGGACCAACAAAATCAAACCCCACAATATTCCTTGACCGAAAAATCAAATCCCACGGTGGACATATTTTCATAATAATATTGAAAATATTCCACTAGATCTATTGGCTTATACTGCATGGGGTGGTCCTTGTCCGTAAGCTCATTTGGTACATATATCTCTCCTTTGTTCCAAAAGAATTGTCCGAATGAGTATCTTACCTTATTTTCCTTCAAAACGACTCTATGCATACAAGATTTTATTCTATCATTACTCCAAACCTACGCCAAATAAACCACGCATGTAAACAACATCAATAAAATATAGCTATCAAAAGTTTAAGTTAGGTTGTAAAACACACTTCATCTGTCCCTTTGTTCTTGAAACTTATATTGCCTTACACTAGAAGAAAAAAACATGTCAAAGGAAATGAATTTTTGTTTAGACACAAATAATGCATTCAAAAGTAGTTCTAATGGCCGCTTGAATTGTACTTTATTTGGTAGGAAAGCTTGGCCTTGATTGTCATAATTAACGACAAACGATATTGTCGTTAGAAGGAAGGTTTTGCCATGATCATCTTAACGATAAATGATATTGTCGTCAGAAATAGAATGGTTATTTTCGAGGGTATATATATATATATATATATATATATATATATATATATATATATATATATATATTCATGTATCGGAATTGGTTGACTATTTTTTTATGAGAAGTATGTCCTCCCGATAATGCCTTCACATTTTTGAAGGCTTCGTTAGGAATTGGTCTTCAAAGAGTATTTTTAGTGTCTTTTTATTACTTTAGTCAATTTGTGCACTTATGATGTTTTTTTTGTTATCATATATAGACTTTTCGGAGGATTTTTTATGGTCAATTGGAAGGAAGTTAAGAGGATGAAGATAGTTGTGTTCAACTTTCATGTTTTTCCATGAGTTTTGCAAATCAATCCCGTGAAAGTTACATTCTCGTCAAAATTACGCGACTGTGGAAGAATGAAGATTTGAAGGCTTTTCCAAAATTTTCAAGTGTCGTGCCTCATATGCCTATACATAGAGCTACAAGTTTCCTATTTTTCAAAATTTTACATAACTTAAGGTGGAACGATCCCAAATCTGGCATGAAAGATGGATGATGTGTTTTCCAAGTCAAGAAGAGTTCTTTCTTAGTTTGTGTCCAATATCGTTTTGGATTTTGTTTTTCTAGGAGAGTTTTTACCACACCTTTTAGTGTTTTTTTAGTATAAATATATGTCCTATGATCTCTCTACATGTCACCATACACACAAATTTGTCTAAAGGAGAGATGAGTTAGGAGCACATCACCGTTGTTATTTCGTGTACTATTGTTCTTTTTCATGACTTATTGTTATTATGTACTGTGTGTAACTAAACACCCTTGCTAGGCAATGATGAAACCCTAATATGATCGATGATCAAGTTTTCTTATTTTGCCTATCTTACGATTGCCCTATGATATGGGATTCTTAATCACCGTGCTTATTAACTTGACGCTTAGCTAGCATCTAAATTCTTAATTGAGTTACTTGATGTAAATCAGACTGAATACTACAGTTCATTTGAGGCTTGCTTCTTGTGGTTAAGGGTTGTAATTCTTCTAGGGTAAACACCGTATTCCTAGGGTTTGCATGGTTTTCAAGATTTTCACAAAACGTAATGAGTTTCTGTATGTTCATAATTGTACTAAACACCATAGACAAATTGCATGTAAAGATATACGGGTGAACCTAAATACCATATAGGTAGTTTATGCGTAAGGAAAACTATACAACAACATCAATTGGATTAATCAACGGATAGATAATATAGAAGCTAGGTTGGATGACTAGTGGGGGATATGATGTCCTAGTGCCTTCACATCTTAATTTTCAAATTTTATCATTGTCTTTGTTTAGTTTATCTATTAATTTCTATTGTTAATTTTAATTTTAATCAATCCTTAAATTCAATTCGTTTGTATAATTAAGTTTGGCGTAATTATTGGTTTAATTGGTTTTAACGCAATTACTGCAAAATCGTTGCATATCTATACTACTATTGAGTTGTGCACTTACGAGTTAAAATTGGTTTAATTTAATCTATTATTAGGTTAGTTTGAATATACATCAATGCTTAATTATATTTTTAGAGAAGCCACCAAGACCGCTTATTGTTTTGCTAATTTGTCACATACATTGCTAACTTCCATCATGTAATAGTTCTTAGGTTATATGTAAACTTCTGTTATCCCTCAATTAAAGCTCATTTAATTGACATCTTGTGATGACCATTTTATAATTTTTTTTTTTTTAATGATCCGAATCATTTATATTTTAATTTATTATTCATAGATTATCCTTTCAAAAAAAAAAAAAAAAAAAAAGGCAAGTCTAAAACAATTAAGAGATCCAATCGTAGTTAATAAAAAAGACGAATATAGTGTTCAAAGAAACACTAAAATGACTATCTTTTAATCCAACGATCAATATGGTTTCGGATTTGGGTAATTTTTGGGAGTAATATCTTTGAGAGAAGGCCTTAACGATAGATGGTTAAATTGTTGAAATACATTGAGAACTAAGCCCTACAAAAGGGATGCCTGAACGACATATCCATGAAGAGAGAGAGGGAGAGAGCTAAAATCCATGAAACTAAAGCAAGATTAATGAAAGGGTGTGTTGACGTACCTGAAGTCCATCACCAGCTAGGAATAATAACGATGAAGGCAGAGGATCATAAACAATCCACTCGTTATCTTTTGAGCGTATCTCAAAACCATACGCATCTTGATGGAGCATGCCAGTAAAACACTTGTCTGTATGATTGGGTTCACCAGTTTCAGTTTCATCTGTCTTGGGTTCATCATCTTTTAGAAGTAAGGTAATGGGTATGGTCGATTGAATGTGATCATTGTGGTATTTCTCTACCTTGTAGTTTTCAAATATCATTTTCGTCACAACTTGATTTAATTCTGTCATCACTTTTGAATACAGATCAGCACTCTCACTGCCCAAGATATAAAGAACAAATTATTATTATTATTATTAGTAAGAACAAGCATAAATGTTTAAGGACAGATTCGCATTAGCTTGTTGACAAAGAAATCTGAAGTGTTGATAACAAAACATATAGCAGTTGGTATCGAGATGTAGAAAAAACTGCCAAAACTATTGAAATGTGCAGTAATTTATACCGAAACTGGTCATTTCCTTCCGGCCAAAGTTGACGTGTGACGTTCTTGATTTTTTCAGTACTTGAATGAAATGACATGTATTCCCGGGTAGGCAGCCTTGCGTAACCCTCAACTAGAGGTTTTTCCTGAGGAAGTTGTGCTTTAATTTCGTCGGGGAAATCAAACAACTCGTTGAATGTCCCAAACATGGTGTCATTAAGCTCCCGAGAAACTTTGTTGGGAAGGACTGCCAGGAAACAGCCAAACTCTTCGAGAGCATTACAAATGTCTCTGCTTACTGAGAGCCAAGAATTTGTCCCTGACTTCCAGCAGTCCTCTTGGGAGAAATCTACTACTGGAATTTTGGCCGCTGTTTGGGTCCTGGAAGCCATCTTTTTCTTCTCACCAGCTAGCTAACTGATAGGTTTTGAGTCTCTACTCTTTAAGGATATACATACATATATAGAGAACGGCAAGCTGTATGTTTCTCTCAATTAATTATCAGATAACGGTAAGGGTGTTGGTTCATCGATCACCATCATCTGCGCGTTGTTTACATCAGCACCATACGTACACTGCTTTTAGAGTCCAAAATGGCGTGCGTGGCGGAGCCAATATATGGGAATCTGGGGGGTTTTGAATTTTTATATGAACCCTGTAGTTTTTATAATAGGTAGACCACTCTATTTGGCAGGAGAAGAACGAATCTTGTTCAGCACACCGGGCGAGGATCAAATGATATTTAAAGATTAGAAATATTTTTTCCCATCTGCCTCACCCACCCACCCCCACCCGACACAACACCTCTCCATTTCTCTCCAATAATTCATCCAATTCTGAAACCCTCCTCACCGACCCTTAAACATGCAGTTATCAGATAACGATACGGGTGTTGATCAAAGGGCGTGAGCTTCAAGGCTTTTACCATCATGGCATCATCTGCATGTGTTTGATATAGATGGTTGAGCATGCAGGTTTATATTTATAAATATTGCTTTTCTTACCCTCCGAAATGGCTGCAACATATTGCCACTTGCGGTCCATATGCTGCGAGTGACAATGTATTAGATCCCAACAACTTATTGCCACTTCCGGACCAAAATATTGAATCTGTGCCATCTAGATTATTTATGAAGGTTGAATATTCTTGTGCTTATAGATATGAACTTTGATTTCATCTTCAAAGCTTGCATTGTTTCGCAGGATGCGATAGTGTGATATTCGGGTTCATATGCATAGTATGGAGATGCATGAATAAACAAAAAGGAATCTATCACCTTCTAGTAATCGTTCAATAGAAGGAGACATCCTTGGTCCACTTGAAGTTCCATCTCGGAAATCTCTGACTAGAGTAATTGTTGATCAAGTTTGCTTCAACATGAGATGCATCATGGTGATTATAGATATCTATTACTGTTAGCTTTAGTTGGAACCTAAGAGATCGCACACCTATGATAGCTCTAGCAACATTAACAAGGTGATAATTAGAAATAATTAACTGGTAATTATATTGAATTAATTATCCAGGCTTGTTGGACATGATTTTAATTAAAATAAGCTTTGAGCTTTATTTAATTAAAAGGGGTTTAAGTCATAATCCTAAGTGGGCAAGTGAAACAGGTGTGTCGCACGGACTAAGCTCATGGCGTCAAAACCCTAAAAGGTGCAGCTACGGGGCCTATATATACCCCTTGTGTTCCTCTCATATGTCCCTAATGCTAAGTGCACTCAGTTTTGTCTTTTGAGAAAAGAGAGAAAAATTAAGCCAAACATACATTTGTGCCGCCTAAACCCTATTGATCAAAGTGAGGGATATTGATGTCCCATTTAAATCAATCACTCCATCATCAGTTACTAGTGTATCAATGAGATACTCTAAGAGGCTCAACACTTGGAGAGCTTCACATTTGTTAACGCTCAAAATTAATAGGTCAACAAAGGCCAATATGGTCAACCATTGATGGCCTTGGGACAATGACTTTAAATGATAGAAAATGAGAATTAAATGGTTCACCTTTGAAAATGGGCTACATCTACTATAAGGCTACGTATATATCTGATATGTGTTACAAGAGAAGTGCTTAGTAATAGTGTAATCCTTCTTTCTTTTTTGAATCCGACTCTTTACAAGAGGTACTTATCCCTCTTATATAGGCCTCCAAAAAGTCCAGAAGTCATGGCCCTCAAGTACTCCACTACCATGGCATTAAGGGGCGTTTGTTTGCCTTCACTAGCAACTGGATTAGACTGGAGTAACTATTAGTCCAGTCCCATATTTGTTACCACGCAAGACAAACGTTAATGGAATTAGCCTGGACTTGCCCAGACTAATAGGGTCGCTAGAGGTTCTTAGCGAGTCTGCCAAAAAACCATGGGACTAGCTATAAGACCTTGGATTTGTCTCTGCTATGTCCTCTCTCCGGCTAGAAACACCATCAAACCATTAACACTCTCTCCCTTTCTCCTCATCTTGCTCAACTGCAACCACCAGACCACCACCAGACGACAATCACCAGAAGCTCAACGTCGATCTTAGCATTCGCATGTGAAAGCATACCAAATGCCCAAGTACTAGTTAGGGTTTTTGTTGGTGGTGGGGAAGAAGCTGAGAAACTTGTGAAATTTAGTAGGAAGTTGTGAAATTTGGTATTTGAATATTGTGATCTATGAGAAACTTGTAAAATTTGGGCTTTATGTTTTGTGATTCATTAGAAGCAGGAGATGGGGTTTGACGGGAAAAGAGGTAAAGGGAGAAGGAAGAGAAAAGTTTCATGTGAGAGGGAGATAGTTCTAGAATAGAAAAAGACAAAAGAAAAAGAAAAAAAAAGAATTACTTTTTATTATCTTGTTTGTAGTCCGATACTGCACTAAACGCATTACTAAGTTAGTCTAGCTTAGTCTATTCTAAGCCAGTTCAACTTAATCGCTGAACTTAGTCCAGTCCGAGATTGTCCGGTGCAACAAACATATCCTAAATGAACTAAATACATAACCTAATTTACTGGCTATTCCTCCAACATCGATCTTATTGACAAGTGGAAGCAAAATGATATTCAGGGTTGATTTCAGCACATCGGGCGAGGTTCCAATCATATTTATAGAACCCATGTTGACCAAATCTCAAAGGGGGGTAATTTTTGCATGCCCCTCTAAATTTTGGCTTCCGGGTCTTTTATTTGTTCAATCCAATTATTAAAAACAAATGAAGATTGTGCGGAAGGTGAATAAAAATATTGTGCAAAAATCATTTCCCATACTACACCGTTGTTATTTTGTGTAGGCAATTTGAGATAAGAGGGACTTTGAGCTCCATCTTCTCCTTTGAAACAACAGGCTTTTGGATTGATTCCATTTGGAAACATCCAACAACACACCAACACAGCACATCACAGCATAGCAAGAATCATGCATAACAAAGTATACACCACAATTACTTAAGAAGAAGAATTGCTTAGGGTGCTCCTGACAACTATTTGCTTTTTTTTTTTTTTTTTATGGAATTTTAATCGGCCCTTTAAAATTCTAATGACTTACTTTTTGCATTACTCTCTGGAACTCGATATCATCTCACTTTGTTTAGATTCTGTTAATTTCGTCAAAGTTGGTGTCCTGGCTTAAAAAAAAAAATATATGTGGCTTCCAAGTGGAAGTTTAGAAGGGATCCAAATTTCCCTCACATTCAGTCTCATCCTATTTGAACAGTTATGATTGAGTCACGTTAGTATTTTGTGTTGACTTCTTTATAGAGAGAAAAAAAGAGGAAGATAAAAAACATTTGTCTGGGGCTTAACTTACCACTGAGTTAGAATGACACTAGCAAACCATTCACAACTTGCCATGCGTTAAGCATTATTGTATTAGTTTAATTTCTTATTTTCATTTCATATGATAACTAAAAAATTAGTTATGCCAACATCTTTCAGATTTTTAACCATGACAAGTGGTCCAATGAAAAAGTGAGAATAACAGCTTCCTAAAGAAAATAATGGGAGGTCATGGATTCGATACTTGGCACGCAGTGAATTTGCTTGATAGTAGCCATAAGTAGGGTGCAACCTCTAACTAGCCTTCTCTGGATCTGAAAGGAGTGGATAACAATGATTCGCCACCTATCCCTTTTTTTAAAAGAAAACAAAAAAAGTTAAAAATGTAATGGAAAAGTTAAGGGAACTTTAACGAAAATCTTTCGGTACTGTTTACTTTTAAAAAAATAGGTTTATTGACATTTAGTATTACAGTCTAGTGGTATTCTTCTTCACTTTTGAGTGAGAGGCTTATGTTCGATTCTCGCTAAATGCAAATTTAAACTACATTATTGCTAGCCCATTGTGAGGGTTAGCTCACTCTCCTACTTTTTTAGTATAGATAATATTGTTTGTTAAAGTTATGCTACCGACTTTGATGTTTACACCATGTATGTCTTTTTACAACATATGTGTAGATTACTACTAGCATACAATGTCCGAATTACAAGACGTAATGATTTTATCATGGGATGTGATATTCACACATTCTATTTTACTTCTCACACATCTTTTTAATTTTCAACCGTCGGATCGAATGAATTAAAAAAGATCAACAAACAAAAATTATCAAGCAATATGTGAGAAGTAAAATATGATGTGTAGATAGCACATCCCTTTTATTATTATTATTATGACCAAGTCGCTCGTTGTAGATGTCCCTTACAATGTCAAGGTAGATTATTATACTTAAATGTGATTAAATTACAATACCAATGTTGATGATTATTATATCATGGACGTCATATTATAGCATAGAAGTAAGTTAATACTAGGAGGTGTCATGAAATTACACAATATTATAGTGGTGTTACAACATGATGTTAACATTCAACGTCTGAATGACAATAGTAGGATTACACTATAATCGTTCATATTTGTACTCTAAGTATGCATAATTATAGTAATGTAATTTTTTTTAGTAGAACAATATATTTTACACTAGGGGATATGGGAGTTCAGAAGCCACATAATAGGCAACCTAATTTGGCATCGAATTGTCATCCACGATATTCGGACCAAAGATCTCTCATTTACAAGTGAAGGGTAATACCACCAGACCATGATATAAGTGACAATTATAGTGTAATTAATTATGCAAAATGACATTGGTATTAAATGGTACTGGTTCCCATCGTTATTATATGAGAAATTGAAGCAATAGCTCTTGAATTTTGGCCCAATTAGAGCTTTGGTCAATGAACTAAAAATTTGTCAGTATTAGTCATGATTTTATTATAGGGAGATTATATTTACATACTTCAAATTATTTTTTCCACATTCTTTTAATTTTTAATATTTTTTATCAAGTGTTAATAGTATGTAGAAAATATTAAAAAATTAAAAAATATGGGAAAAGTAATTTGGGGTGAGTGAATATAATCATTCTTTATTATAATGTGTAGCAGTGGCCCTTTTATCTAACTTCATTAGAATTTTCATTCATTTTTTGTCCCTTTAAACCTTTTTATTTTGGATGAAAGTTCTACCAGAGTTAGCCAAAAGAATAATTGCTCCACGTTATAACAAATTCTGGAATCAATACTAATAAATATTTAGTTTCAAAGATCAAAACATTAATTGAGCAAAAATTCAGGACCATTACTCAATTAGCTTTTATATCAAGATTGACATTTTAGTGACGTGATTTTTAAGTAACCATACTGGAATTTTTCGTTAAAATTCTGTTTATTATATCGTAATATATCGAGACGAAAAGACCAAGGGAACCAAACACTGTAAATTTGGAGGGGACGATTGGAGAACCAGAGAAGAGGAGGAAGATGAAGAAGAGGACAGTGTACGCTTGGGGAGTAGCCATTCTTTGCTTTGTGGTGTTGATGATCGTCACTCCTGCCATCCCCCAGTCTCAGGCTTACCACGATTTCGCTGACCAACGCGAGTTTTTCGGTATCTCTCTCTCTCAATTTAGTTACACACACACACACACACACACACACTGCAGTGTTCGTGCTCTGTATCTCTATCCATTTGTGATTTCATATACTAGCTCGTTCTGAGATTGGAAATTGAATGTTAATTTTGCCCCTTTTTGTAATCAGAAGAGGGTTTTGTTTAGGGTATTGTGGAGGCAATCAAAATTTGGTTGAGATTGAAATTAGTTTGTGGAAGTAGATGGGTTTCTGATAAAGTACTCTAATTAGTGAAATATTTGGTAAAGATTCACAATTTCATTTTTTGTTTAAATTTTCTGATTAGCGAAATGTAGTTATTTTGTAAATATATGGTAATGGAAAAATTAGAATTTGCAATCCGTGCTTATGTCGTAATGAACGCTGGAAATTGCAAGGCAGTGGCTAAGCTAAGCGGTGCATAATGGATCTAGGCTTTTAGGATTAAATCATAACATGTATGACTATGAGCAAAGTCATGAACCTGTAGTTAGTGCAGAATAGAAATTCGTGAGAGATGACTGAAAATTGGGATTTGTTAGTAATTTTTCTTTTCCCGTTTCAAATTCGGACTGATTTTCTAGGTTGATTTGATAAGGTTTTAGTCAACAGCTCAGAGTCAAACTGAAATGTTGATTATGATTCATACTTCGAATTTGATAGTAATTTGAATTTGTAATAGAGTTTTGTTATTTTTAAGGTGCGTTTGGTTCTACTGTGATTTATTGGGTTGTGTGCGAAAGAAAGATTTTAGTATAACTGATACTAAACACACTACTTTAACTTATGAACTCATGACCTTGTGTTACGCTTGCGAGTCACTTGGGTATTGGCAAACGTACTACTTTAACTTATTCTAGGATATGTTAAGTCACACCATTCTTTAAGCTAACTTATTCTAGGATATGTTAAGTCTCACCATCCTTTAAGCTTGATCATTATTTAATGCCTTTGATCTTTTTTCTCCATTGTACTCAAACTGAGATATTCATTTCATTTCCAGGTATTCCAAATACACTTAATGTGGTTTCAAATTTTCCTTTTCTTGTTATTGGTCTCATCGGTCTTTTCCTCTGCTATTACAAGGATTATTTCAAGTTCAGGTACTGTGGTTCTTTGATTCGGGCAAATTACAATGCCTTAATGGAGTAAAAGCTTTATTGTACGATTGGTGATAATTTTTTGTTTTTTTTTAAAATAGCTTGCAAGGAGAGCTTTGGGGTTGGACATGCTTTTACATCGGTGTAGCTGCTGTTGGAATTGGATCATCATACTATCACCTGAAGCCAAATGATGCCCGTCTAGTGTGGGACCGACTGCCAGTGAGTTTGGTTTTGCAATGGAATACAGCTGTTATATAGTATCAACTAATTTTTTCATTTTTTGATCAGTGAATATCAACTGCTGTTAAGATGTCATACTTTACATCGATTAAAATTATATTTTTTTCTTCATAACAACTGTAGATGACAATTGCATTCACATCGATCATTGCAATCTTTATCATTGAAAGGATTGATGAGTGGAAGGGAACAATTTCCATCATACCTCTACTTTTGGCGGGTGTAATCAGCATATTGTATTGGAGGCAAGCACCATACTTAATTTCCTTTGGTACTTAATTTCCTTTGGTGATAATGATTACTTTTTCTTGAGCTCTATTTCTATTGTTATCACCTGGATTCCTTCATTTTATGTACTGAAGTATACTTTCTGGAGTATGGCTAGTTTTCCGTACAAAATGAGTGTTTGGCTTTTGTATGCTGTTTTATTGGCACGCAGTGAAATTGGGATTGTATAGTTATGAGAGAAATAGGCTCTTGGTACTTATATCACTTTTCGACTGAGGCTGAATACAGACATATTTGGGAGTCTATGGTGTACCCTTATATCAAAAATAATTTCCGTAATTTCCTTCCACAGGTTCTTTGATGACCTCCGTCCATATGCTATGGTCCAGTTTCTTCCTTGCATTGCCATTCCTCTGATGGCTATCTTGTTGCCCCCAATGTACACTCATTCCACATATTGGCTTTGGGCAGCAGGTTTGTTTCTATGTTCCTTTGTGATTTTCTAAAATTTTGTACCGTTTTTACTGTGTTAGTTATGAAATCTTCCCGTTATTGCAGGATTTTATCTTTTAGCTAAGGTGGAAGAAGCTGCTGATAAAGTGATCTACGATTGGACTCATCATATTGTCAGCGGGCACACCCTTAAGCATTTGTGCGCTGCAATGGTTCCTGTATTCTTGACACTTATGCTTGCAAAGAGGACTGTTGAACCAGAGAGGTATATCTTATTATCCCTTTTAAGTTAAAGAAATTTTTGTTTCATGTATTGATACATGAGGTGTCGTAAAAGTAAGCATCATGATGGAATTGGTTGAACTTTTCCGCATCTGTTTAGCTTGGATGCACATTCTACATACATGTGCATATTAAATTTATAAAAGTGACTATATCATGCTTAGATGCTTCCACATCTACGATATTTATTTGCCTTCCCTGTCACACACTCGTTACTGGTGCATATGGCCTGATGTCATCTCTGGTTTTTTATATTTGTGGAGTTGAACACCGCCATGGGATGGTTCAAACAAATCATTCTTTCAAATTTACTGAAAATTGATGGTGCCTTAATTGGCAAGTCAAATCTGTCGTTAAAACATGCCTTTCTGCTAGATTGGTCTGATATATTTGGGAGAACCAGACATAAATGTACAATATGTTTACTTATATTTTCAGCTGATGCAGTTTCTTTTTTGTTTTTTGTTTTGTTTTCCGAGTATTGTTCCGTCAGGGTTGATTCTATTTGGAACTGCAAAGGAAATGTTCTGATAGCCCCAAACACCATACGTTCATTTAAATACCTACCTGGTTATGTACTCATTTGATTTGACCCTTGTAAAAGTTTACTAACATGAGACAATGTGCAGGCAAAGTCTGCTCAAGGTTTGGAAGATTTCGTGGACTAATTTTAGGAAGAAAGATGGCACGGTGGAGAGTGATGGCACTGTGGAGAGTTACACGTGTACCTACTCAACAGTTCCGGTTGAGGAATCACGATAATCTTGGTTTCCGTTTCCTATTTCATTACGTAGAAGATAGCTTTTCACTTGTATCTGGACAGAATTCAAGAAAGAAAAAGAAAACACAGCTGCACACTGACCTGCTTGTTGGCGACACTCAACATGTAAAAACGATAATTGTAGGTTTGCTTCAAAGTAACAAAGGTATCGACACTTCTCATATAGTATATATAGAATTGGATAATCGTACCTATTGACTTCCGCTGTGTTCATAGTGAATGTTCTGGTTTCCTGTGGTTCATGATCAATATTTGCTATCTTTGCATCGTGTTTTCTGTTTACATGGATGAAGGTTTTTGTTCGGAACGTGTCGTGTTTATAAGCCGGGCGGTTTTTGTTCGGAATGTGTCGTGTTTATAAGCCGGGTTTACGTTCAGATGTGTGCGCGCATGACCAAAATGTTTTCGCACTAAGCAATGCTTGTTTTACCATCACTTGTCTCTGGTGCTGTGCCTCCACAGTCGACAAGAATTTGGTGGTTCAGGAACTTCGGTTCGGTTTGGTAACTTCAGTTCAGTTCGATTGTGGCACCCCTAGTGGTTATGTTGCCAAACAAATTGTTAATTAATAGGAGAGATTTTTCAGTGTGCTCGAAACATGGAATGATATGTCACATGTTAGGAGGGAAACATGGAAAAAAATTTCCTCCAATTGTTTGATGACATACATGGTGTGTAATAACTCATGTTCTGGACACACTGAAAATTTTCTAATCAATGAAGCTAAAGATTTTTAGACAGAATAAAAAGATATTAACCAAAATTTCATCCGAATTCCAAAAACTACAACACTTCTTGTTGTATGTTCTTTCATTCTGTAACTTCAAATTTACATTATGAAAAAATACAACACTCTTTGCCACGTGCCATTTCATTCTTCAAATTTGCATTCGACTCATAAATTTCTTTTTTTCTAAGTAGCCAGTTGATAATTATTTTATTTTTACGGTGTATCAAAATTCAATGGTTATAAACGATATCTAATTTTTTGTTTTTCTGGTTGGAAATGTAAAACAGTTGTTCATCAAACGGGCCCATAAAAAATAATAATATAAAAAAAAAAAAAAAAAAAAAACAAGAATTTTCAAGTATCCGAAGGAGCGGGAAAATATTCAGTTCCATTTCCGCTTTCTATCCCTTGAGCCTTTTCTTCCGTCGCCACTCGCCGCCAGTACCAAGTTTGTGAAAGATTTAGGGAGGGAAAGAAATGTCGAAGTTTGAGTACCCGAAGCTTACTCGCTCCGACATCGTCACAATCCTCGCTGACGCTCACATCGTCGCTATTTCCGACCGCGATCTCGTCAACCCCAACCCTGATTTCGTCGCCGACCTCTACACCCGCATCCTCGTCTCCCTCGACTTCTTCCACGAGTACTTCTCTCTCCTTATACCCTCAATTTCCCGCTAATTTTTCCATTCCGTTAGAAATTCAAATCCCTAATTTTCGTGTTTTTAAATGTCAATGGGTAAATGGGGATTTGCATTTTCCAGTAATTTTTCGTATTTTCAGTAGTTAAAGAGATGGGTTTGGACCCGGTTTGATGCATGTTCGAAGCATAATCGATTATGTTTAGGAGCCGTTTGATAACCATTTTGTTTTCAATTTTTAATTTTTATTTTAAATTGTGAACTCGTTTGGTAACTAACAAAATGAATCAAACAGCGGCTTATGTTTTTTCAAAATTTTATATTTGGTACTGGAGAAGCGAGAGTCTGAGCTTCAAACCTTCATGGGGTTTCTGATTTATGCAGGGAAGATTTTGGGCAGGTTGAGTTTTCGGCCTTGGAGCAGCTCGAGAACCCTGATTTTCACATGGACTCGGCCCGGACCATGAAGCTATACAACAGAATCAAGGAAGTGGTGGCTTTAGTAGATTGTCCGAAGAGATTTACCTTAAAAGATCTTGTAAAACCTGAGACGGATCGGACTGAATATTTTGTCAGTGCACTTCTCAATTTCTCTCTTCACAGGTAAGATTTGGTGTTGTTAGTTATTCGTTTCAAGGAAGCACAAATCAAGCTTCTCCTGAAGGACAATAGTTCTTCCCATTTCGAACATAATGGAAAAGAGAACATGTTTCACTTATGAAAAGCTCAACTGTCTGGTTTAAATAGTTCTATCATAATTGCTTCTCACACATGATAGCTGTTTATGTTACATATCAGAGAGACAAAAATGAATATCCTTACCCAAGTCGTGGATCAATTAACTGACATAGATGAGCGACGCAAAGGATGGGAGGATAAGATTTCCCAGGTAACTTTAATATAAAAAAAAGGTTCCTTTAATAAACTAAAAGGTTTAATGTCGAAGATGTGTCAATTTCACTAGATTTTTGTGTTGTAGTTGAATGCAGAGATTGCGGACTACAATGAAGCAAGAGAAAAGGAGTTGCCTCTTGTTCAAGAGGTAGATGCAAAAGTTAAAGAATTGCACCAAACCGTTTCAGGCCTTAACAATCAGCAAAAGTCACTGAGAACTTCTCGTCAGAAGTTGAAGGAGAAGATCGGAGAAATAGAGGAAAAGGTTAGATTATTGACTGCTTGGCTAACTCATATATGCTCTAAATAACATAAAAATACACAAATAAAGTTTAAACCCTGGTAGTTTAGCTTTTGAAATTGCTGCAGATTAAGTAATTGGTAGTGTTGAATTGTTAAGAATTTGACGAGAAGCATATTTAAGAGGTGAGTTATTTTGTTATAAAGATTCACAGGCAGGCATTAAAAGAACTATAAAGTAAAGTCTGAGATTAGAATAAAATTACTCGGGTCCTCTTTACTCTTTGTGACATCCACCAAACGTAATTTAATGATCTTCCACTCTGGTGTTTGTTAGCCTGGGTTTCTTATTCTTGATGGGCCCCTTTATTTGACTGAAATTGGGCATACTATTTGTCTGATTTAACTGCAACTGTTTCCATTGTCCGTGGGTGCGTGTGCATGTGGTTGCTCCCCAAAACTCTAACCTTATGTATGTAGGAGGGAGAGTAGATCAATCCTTCCGAAGTGTTAGGATTGAAGAAGGATACAACAGAAATGTTTTAAAACTTCCTTTTAAAGTACAATTACTCCCACTGCTTATTTTCTTTTCTTCAGTTGAACATGGTATCAAGTCTCTAACATTGTCAGAGATTATTCTCTATTTGTAAATGTTTCCTCATTTAATAAAATTCTTTTTCTCTTAAATGATGCTGTGTTAAATTTTGATTTATTGTGATCAACTCTTTATGCAGATGTATTTAATTATAAATGTATGTAATCATTCTTCTGGTTTGTTCCTTTTACTACAGGTTTCGAGTGCAGAGTTTTCCTTGGTACAAAGTGTCCAAGAAAATGCAAATTTGCGCTCAAGAATTGTTCAGTCGCCAGATAAATTGCAGGTATCTTCTCTTCAAGTTCTATTTTCTGAATGACATTTCACCAAATAGTACTACTACATTCCTGTTGATTGCATCCCTACTCTAGGTGTTACAAGGCTCATGAAGTTTTTCTATTTTTATTTGCTGTAGTTAAGCAATTTGCAGATTTTATATGGTCATGCTTTGGAGATCCATATGACAACCTTAACTTGTTACTGACCATGATAGGCGATGCAAGAATTTGAGATAAGATTATTAAGTAATTTTTGCTACTTTTGTCTTATTCCATTGCAAAAATATTGGCAAGTAGTACAACATAGAGTAACTTTTTCTTCAAGATAAACCTTGCAAGGGCTTACAAGAAGTTGGGCCACTCCACCATTGCCTATCGGTTTTAGTGTGGAGCCTCAATTTCCTTCACACTAATATATTTCACAGCTCGCCATGGAATCATTTTGGAAGAATTGTTGTAATCAGAATATTTATAATACCTGCACGAATTGGATTGCCATTCGATTACAATTCTACAAAAACTGCTAATAACAAATAAATCGTTGTACCCTTTTGACTCCCTTATAGCCCTGTTCTCCTTTCACTTTCTAACTTGAAATTTTTTGTAAGTATTTGCTGTGTTTCCTGTTTACCTATGATACTCGATTTCATCTTATGGGTTTTCCTAACGAGGGTTTAAAATTACTTGTTTCTGTACCTTACTAGGTAAAAGTAAGGCTATTATTTTGTCAATGTTTCTTTACTTTTCTTTCATTGATTGCTCACCAGAGTTGTGCTCGTTTTGCAACTAAAAGAAATGATTTGTTTTTTGGGCTCACAGAGGGCTTTAGAAGAGAAGAAATCAGTTCGTGAGGAGGCAAAAAATGCTGAAAGGTCAGCGAAGCAATCTTTTGAGGAGAAGACCGCTGTTGATGAGGTTTATACAAAGGTAATTTTTTGTTACAATTCTTCATTCTGTCCTTTTATTTGTTGATCCAATTCTGTAAAGTTATAAACAGTGTTTTATCTGTATCTACCAAAAGTTGTATCCTGATGATATCTTGCATATCCAGAAATGTTATAATCTTTTAATGTAGGTAGGTATTCAACATTTTTTGTCAGAAATGACTATTGATTACAGAAGATTTACGCTTTGAAATTAAAGATAAAATTGTATGCGTGGTGATCAATAGCTCCAATCATTAACAACTTCGAGGAAATGCTTACGTGATTGCATCTTTTCTCAATCCAGCATATAAAAATACAAACAGCCACTATTTTGCATGAATCTACAAATAGTATGCTATTGATCTCTGGCACCCAGTCTTGATCCATATATGATGCAATATGTCCTGATACGATTTGGTGAAAATAGATGATCACGAAGATGCAATTTAAGCAATTAGTAAGTTGATGGAAGCAATACAAAAACTGAAAATTACATGCTAAAAAATAATTTGTAATTTAGTAATTGCTGATGTGTGTGCATGCCAGAAATATATCAAAAAACATGGTGCGGCATCCATGAAAGGATATACTTTAGTATAATATAACATTGTAAAGTTTTATTGGTCAGGTCTCTAAGAAATTGTCAAAGCACTTGGCCCAAATGCAGGCTATACAGGAACAGGTATGCATACCTTAATTTTGCATCCTTTAATGATCTTCATAATGTGAAGTCGTTGTTGTAGAGTGTCTTCTATTCATGAGAGAAAACATTCTTTGTGATAAAGGAGTTTCGTTGTCGACATTCTTATTCATGCAGTGCAAGTGGCATTGCTTTAAATGTATTCTTTCAAAACGTTCAATTGTTTAAATATTAGGTCAATTCTGCTAAATCAGTCGACAGAGACGTTAAGGCTGTAAAAGCTAAACTAAGTGATGATGGA